AGTGCTTTGAGCTTGGTGAAATATGTTGACAGCGCCATGGTTCCTTGTGACATCGTTGCTATCGAGTTTTGTATTTGAAAAATTGCTGGAGCATTCTTTTGTGAGAATTGATCGTGAAGATCAACCCACACTTGATGAGCTGTCTTGGCGTGAATAATGCCTTTAGCGATATCTGCTTCAACGGAATGAGTTAACCAAGATATTATCATACTGTTGCACTGATTCCAGAGTTCGAATTCGGTTGAATTTGCATCTTGGGACGGTTCCTCAATTGTGCCATCAATGAAGCCAATTTTCTTCTTGGCAATAAGAGCATGCATAACTGATTTACTCCAGGATTGGTAATTTGCTCCATTTAATTTGATTGGAACAAGTGAATATCCTGGCTGATCAGAGTGATGAATATAGTACGGATGTGTTAAATCAACATCCGAAATTTTGAAGCTGGATTTGGCTGATTCCGCCATAAAGGAAATTTTGATATTTAAGAACACCAAGATCGGTGCTCTGATACCATGTTAAGAATGAGAAATAGAAATAGAATTGGGATCGAAAGTATGATCTTCATTCAGGTTTACAACGTTTAAATAGGATACAAACTATCAACTAATACCTAAAAATAGAAAAAATATATATCTAACTAAATTTGGTAAATAAATAAAATATACGGTTAATAAAATCTATACTAACAACTCCCTAAATATCTGATATATATTCTAACTAATTATCACGGCAAAATATCCTCTTAATAAACTTATCTAGGCTTACCTACCACACATTCATTTCATCACTCACCAACCTTCTTTTTTCACCAACTTTGTAACAAAATCAATTATCTTTTTCTCTTTTGAATTTTCCGTCTTTTAATTAAAATAAAATCTACTAACAAACACCAACAACAACGGATCATTTGTAGCTCGATTAAATAGATAGTCTCTCAATTCAAATGGATAATAAGCTAACCAAATCAGACTACAACTCACCCATTTGAAATTGAATTATAGATTGCTCAAACACTTTTGGAATCAATCAGAAAACATTGTATCAAGATCTCCACGTGCTTAAACGTTTGTTGTGATTAACAAATGTGATACAAAATCACTTGAAGGGAAGTAAGAGTCAAATTATCTTGTTGATCGATTATCTAAACATATAATCTAAACTAGAATGGCAAAAATGTTCTTTTTACTACATTTTCAATCTCATTTACAAAGATATCATGCATAGGTTTAAATAGCCTTAAATGAAATTCTTGACCTTTCATGAGGCATTTCAAGAGCTTGTTGTTGGATGATGGAAGTCCCACATCGGCTAATTTAGGGAATGATCATGGGTTTATAAGTGAGGAATACTAAACAACATTTTGATACTCAAAGTGGACAATATCCTATGATAATTTAAACAACATTTTCTTCACATGTTCCTTGAAGTTTATCTTGGATGGTTGATACCTTAGTTCATATCAAAATGAGTATATACACCTTGCAAGTTATGATCCTACTAAGAACTGACCACCCAAAATAGTATTTTTATCACTCAACAACCATGAAATGACAAAGTTAAAATGGAAAAGTAAATGAAAATGGAATCTTTACCATTCTCACTGACCAAAGGATAGGAAGTTCACACCCTCCCTGGCTAAGAGCGCGCACGATAGAGCTACTGAACCGTTGGATGTCCCTGTCGTTAGGTAACCCAAACCAAAACTCAATATCAAATCAACTAATTAAAAAAATATTTTTTTTAAAAAAACATCTTTTTAATTTTTTTAATTTTATTTTTTTTTTAGAGATATTCCCATTTTTTAATTTTTAATTTAACAAAATAAAAAAATAAAAAGTAGAATAAAATAGAGTTAGCAAAAAAATTGGACCGATTCCGAAATTAAATAAATGCAGAAAGGAAGGTGGGTATACGCTGTCCATGTTTGAATAATTTTCAACCCAAATACCAAATTTATTTTATTTTATTTTTAATAATTATTATTCTCCAAATTTGACATTTTTTTTAATTTCCTAAAAATCCGGTTGCTTCTTTCCCTTTATAAATCCCCTTTTCATTCTCTCTCCCAAAATGACACCCTCTCTTCTTCTCTTTCATTAAACAGTAAGAACCAGAGAGCCGTTTAACAAAAATTACCTAACCAAACCCATCTTTCCTTCTTCCTACAAATTCTTTATTCTTTTTCCACTAAGAAATGGAGCGGCGTACTAGCCGGAATTTCAGTCGGAGTATAAGCCGGAGTTTCAGCCGGGCCAGTTGGAGCATGGAAGATGTCTTCGCCAATGGGAACCCTTCTCGCAGAAGCACTCGTGTCGATGAAGACGAAGAGGCTCTCCGCTGGGCCGCCATTGAAAAACTTCCCACATACGACCGCCTTCGAACTAGTATTTTGCAGTCCGTTAATGAACCCGACCCCACCCTCGCCGGAAACTTGCCGGTTCATAAGGAAGTCGACGTCCGGAAGCTCGGTGTCAGTGACCGCCAGGATTTTATTGATCGGATTTTTAAAGTCGCAGAAGAGGATAACGAGAAGTTCTTGATTAAACAGAAAAACAGAATTGACCGGTAATTCTCGGGCCCACGTGTTTGCTTAAGTTGTTAACTTATGATTAATAATTTTGATTTTGATTTTAATTTCATGTTTGTTTTATTTAGGGTTGGAATCCGACTTCCAACTGTTGAAGTGAGATTCGAACATCTAACAATCGAAGCAGATTGTCACGTGGGAAACAGAGCTTTACCAACGTTGCCGAACGTAGCAAGAAACATGGCAGAATCGGTCATTGGCTTGTTTGGTATAAAATTAGCTAAGCAAACGAAGCTCACCATTCTTAAAGATGCGTCGGGTATCATCAAACCATCGAGGATGACGCTCTTGCTAGGACCCCCATCCTCGGGAAAAACAACGTTGTTGTTGGCATTGGCAGGAAAATTAGACCCAGGTTTAAAGGTAAACAAACCTACCAATAATTAAATTTAATTTTAAATAGAATAAAAAATAAATAAAAAAAAAGAAATTGATGGGCTCGACAGGTGAAGGGAGGAGTGACATACAATGGACACAAATTGACAGAATTTGTTCCACAAAAAACATCGGCGTACATTAGCCAAAACGATGTTCATATTGGAATTATGACCGTTAAAGAAACCCTTGATTTCTCTGCAAGATGCCAAGGAGTTGGGACTCGTTATGGTATTTTTCTTTTCTTTTCTTTTCTTTTCTTTTAAATTACTTTCTATATTTTTAATTTTAAATTATAATTAATTTTGTTTAATTTTCTTAAGAACTGTTGAGTGAGCTTGCGAGAAGAGAGAAGGACGCCGGAATCAAACCCGAGGCGGAAGTGGACCTTTTCATGAAGGTATTTTATTTTGGTAATTATTACCAACATGTTTATATTCAAAATATAAAAAAGGAAAATAATTAATTAATTGGAAATTACAGGCAACCGCCATGGAGGGCGTGGAGAGCAGCCTGATTACCGACTACACTCTCAAAGTAAGTTTACCGGTTCCCCAAGTCAAAGGTCAAACAAATATTAACAAATCCCTAACCACTTAACCTAACCCAACCCCAGCCAGCCTCCTTTTCTGATTTTCTCCTCTCTCACCTACTTTTTCTTATCTTTAACATATTTTATTTTTTATTTTTAATTTATAAATAAAATAAATAATAATAATAATAATAATAATAATAATAATAATAATAATAATAATAATAATAATAATAATGTTGAATTTGTTGGACAGATACTTGGACTTGATATTTGCAAGGACACTATTGTTGGAGATGAAATGATAAGGGGAATATCCGGTGGACAAAAAAAGAGAGTAACTACAGGTTCATTATATCCCCTTAAAATATTATTATTACATGGGCTTTTGCTTAACTGGAGGCCCAATATCAACTAAATTATGGGCTTTAAATACAGGAGAAATGATTGTTGGGCCCACCAAAACATTGTTTATGGATGAAATATCAACTGGCCTTGATAGCTCCACAACTTACCAAATTGTCAAATGCCTACAACAAATTGTGCACTTGACTGAGGGAACAATCTTGATGTCCCTACTCCAACCTGCTCCCGAGACGTTCGATCTTTTCGATGACATCATTCTCGTCTCCGAGGGTCAGATTGTGTATCAGGGCCCGCGCGAACACGTCGTTGAATTTTTTGAATCTTGTGGATTCAAATGTCCAGAGAGAAAGGGAACTGCTGACTTCTTACAAGAGGTAATATATGGAAATTTTGATATTGTATATCAAAATTAAAGCATAAAATTAATTTATTGATAGAATAAATAATATAGTTTTTAAAATGGGGGAAATTTTATATTTTTTTTAATGGAGGGCATTTTTGTAATTTTGGCTCAGGTTACTTCGAGAAAGGATCAAGAGCAATATTGGGGAGACCGGAGGAAGCCATACCGGTTTATTTCGGTGTCGGAATTTGCCGGTAGATTCAAGCGCTTCCATGTCGGGTTGAGATTGGACAATGAGCTCTCAATCCCATACGACAAGTCTCGTGGTCATAAAGCGGCTCTGGTTTTCTCCGAGAATGTTGTCCCCAAAATGGAGCTTCTCAAAGCTTGTTTTGACAAAGAATGGCTACTCATTAAGCGAAACTCGTTCGTTTACGTCTTCAAAACCGTTCAGATCATAATCGTTGCCATTATAGCATCCACATTGTTTCTAAGGACGAGAATGCACACCAGAGATGAATCGGATGGGGCGGTCTTTATTGGGGCTCTTCTGTTTTCCTTGGTTAGCAATATGTTTAATGGCTTCTCTGAGCTTTCTATGACCATTGCTAGACTTCCGGTATTTTACAAACAGAGAGATCTTAAATTCCACCCTCCATGGACTTACACTATCCCTACTGTCATTCTTGGAATCCCCACTTCCATACTTGAATCTGTTGTTTGGTTGCTGGTCACTTATTACACCATTGGATTTGCTCCTGAGGCTAGCAGGTTAGAAAATTCTTGTGGAATTATGCAATGGTAATCTTCCTATATAGTTCAATAACTTAGATTCATTTGGATTTTGCAGATTCTTCAAGCAATTGTTGTTGATATTTCTTGTCCAACAAATGGCTGCTGGAGTGTTTAGGCTCATAGCTGGTGTCTGTAGAAGCATGATCATTGCCAACACTGGAGGGTCACTGATTCTTCTCCTTATATTTCTACTGGGTGGATTTATCATTCCTCGAAGTAAGTTAGCAATTGACATAATAACATGATTACAAGTGTTGATTCGATTCATTCAACAAGACCCACATCAAATAGTTTGTGATTAAGGATGAATTTCTTATTTTGTTAATGAAACAGGTGAAATTCCCAAATGGTGGATATGGGGTTACTGGATATCACCTCTAACTTATGGTTTCAATGCTATCACTGTTAATGAAATGTTTGCCCCTAGGTGGATGAACAAGATGGTATGCATTTAGTAGCACTTCTAAAGAACGAAATAGAAAACAGTACATGGAAATGGTTGCTTATGAGTATCTTGGATTGTCATTCTATTGCAGGTTCCAAATACTACGGTTAGCTTAGGTGTGAAGGTGCTGCAGAATTTTGATGTTTTTCCTGATAGGAATTGGTATTGGATTGGCATTGCAGCTATTCTTGGATTTGCAATTCTCTTCAATATCCTTTTCACAATTGCACTTACCTATCTTAATCGTAAGAATTCTCATTCTGCTTCACTTGTGTAAGCATATCATTTGTGTTAAAACTCTTCTAATCAAACTTATTCTTTCATGTTTTAGCACTCACAAAGCATCAAGCAATAATATCTGAAGAAACAGCATCAGAGATGGAGGCTAACCAAGAGGATTCGCAAGAACCGAGACTAAGAAGACCGATGTCGAAAAAAGATTCGTTCCCTCGATCTTTATCAGCTTCGGATGGGAACAATACAAGTGAGGAAAAGAATAGATTAAACCATTATGACTGTATAAAAATGGTCAGTTATGATCATGTTGCTTACATGATCTTTGTTTTGAATTTTTTCCAGGAGAAATGAATATGCAAAGAATGAGTAGCAATGGATTAAGAAGAAACTCAAGTTCCTTGATCGAGGAGGCCAATGGTGTTGCTGGCAAGAAGGGAATGATCCTTCCTTTCAGTCCTCTTGCAATGTCCTTTGACACTGTGAATTACTTCGTGGACATGCCTCCTGTAAGAAACAAACACTTACATCACTTATTCTGTCATGATTTAGCATTGAATTTCCTCCATAGTTGATTGTTCTAATCTAATCATAACAGGAAATGAAAGAACAAGGAGTTACAGAGGATAGGCTCCAACTTCTGCGTGGAGTCACGGGTGCTTTTCGTCCTGGAGTCCTCACTGCACTAATGGGAGTCAGTGGCGCTGGAAAGACAACTTTGATGGATGTCTTAGCAGGAAGAAAAACAGGAGGTTATATTGAAGGGGATATCAAAATTTCAGGGTTCCCTAAAAAACAAGAAACATTTGCAAGAATATCTGGATATTGTGAGCAAAATGATATCCATTCTCCTCAAGTCACGATTCGAGAGTCCTTAATTTACTCAGCTTTCCTTAGGCTCCCAAAAGAAGTCAGCAAAGAGGAAAAGATGGTAAGAACAGTAGTATTATCCTGTCTTGTTAATAGTTCCTGATGAATATGTTGCTGAATTGGTGTGTTTTGGTTGTCTTTTGTAGGTGTTTGTGGATGAAGTGATGGACTTGGTGGAGATAGACAACCTTAAGGATGCGATAGTAGGGCTACCTGGAGTTACAGGGTTGTCTACAGAACAGAGAAAAAGATTGACAATTGCAGTGGAGCTTGTTGCTAACCCCTCAATCATCTTCATGGATGAACCAACTTCTGGTCTTGACGCTCGGGCGGCTGCCATTGTTATGAGAGCTGTTAGAAACACTGTGGATACTGGAAGAACAGTGGTTTGCACTATTCACCAACCTAGCATTGATATATTTGAAGCCTTTGATGAGGTAAATATCCTTTCTCCTTTCTCTCTGTCTATGTTTTTGTGTGATACTCATTCAATACCCTGTGTATCTCAGTTGCTATTAATGAAAAGAGGAGGCCAAGTGATCTACTTTGGACCTTTGGGTCGCAATTCTCACAAAATCATCGAGTATTTTGAGGTACTTAATGTTCCTTTAATTCATCTATTACTTTTTCAAAGAAAGAACAGTTCCCTCATTTTGGATTAACTTGTTTATAGTCAATTCCTGGAGTGCCCAAAATCAAAGAGAAGTATAATCCAGCTACTTGGATGTTGGAAGTAAGCTCTGTAGCTGCTGAAGTTCGTCTCGGAATGGACTTTGCTGAACATTACAAATCATCACCCTTGTATAAGTAAGTATAAAACATGAATGATGTCAGAAAAGTATTAGGTTCCAAACTTTTGTTTTTGTTCTAAAAGAACTTCAATGAAATAGGCGAAACAAGGAGCTGGTTACAGACTTAAGCACACCCCCACCGGGTGCCAAGGACCTGTATTTTGAGAGTCAATACTCACAATCAACATGGGGGCAGTTGAAATGCTGCCTTTGGAAACAATGGTGGACTTACTGGAGAAGCCCTGATTACAACTTAGTCAGATACTTTTTCACCTTGGCTGCTGCTCTCATGATTGGGACTGTTTTCTGGAAGGTTGGCACCAAAAGGTACGTTCTCTTTTCTGTGAGATCCCACGTCGGTTGGAGAGGAGAACGAAACATTCTTTATAAGGGTGTGAAAATCTCTCCCTAGTAGATGCGTTTTAAAAACCTTGAGGGGAAGCCCGAAATGGAAAACTCAAATAGGACAATAGTTGCTAGTGGTGGGCTTGAGCCAAACACCAGGCGATGTGTCAGTGAGGAGGCTGAGCCCCGAAAGAGAGTGGATTGTGAGATCCCACATCGGTTGGAGAGGAGAACGAAACATTCTTTTTAAGGGTGTGGGAACCTCTCCCTAGTAGACGTATTTTTAAAACCTTGAGGGGAAGCCCGAAAGGGAAAACTCAAAAACTCCAAGAGGACAATATCTGCTAGTGGTGGTCTTAGGCTGTTACACAATCATCCAAATAATCTACTATTTGAGAACTAGTTTTGACATTGTTGTTCGATGTCGTTCAGGGAAAGTTCGACTGATCTGACCATGGTCATCGGGGCCATGTATGCTGCTGTATTATTTGTTGGAATCAATAATTGCCAAACTGTACAACCCATAGTTTCAGTGGAGAGAACTGTGTTCTACAGAGAAAGAGCTGCAGGAATGTATTCTGCATTACCTTATGCCCTTGCCCAGGTGTTGGTAGAGATCCCATTCATTCTGGTTCAAACAACATACTATACTCTCATCGTGTACTCCATGGTCAGCTTTCAATGGACAGCTCCAAAATTCTTCTGGTTTTACTTCATCAACTTCTTCTCCTTCCTCTACTTCACATACTATGGAATGATGACTGTCTCCATTACACCAAACCATCATGTAGCAGCCATATTCGCAGCAGCATTCTATGCACTCTTCAACCTCTTCTCTGGCTTCTTCGTCCCAAGACCGGTAAGGCACCTTTCGAGCTCGAATAATATGAGAATCAATTTAAACCATCCATATCTATAAATCTAATGAAACTTTTTTGAAACTTCAGAGAATTCCCAAATGGTGGGTGTGGTATTATTGGATCTGCCCGATAGCCTGGACCGTGTACGGGATGATCATATCGCAGTATGGCGACGACGAGACACCGATATTCGTGCCCGGAGCAACTGCAACTGAGAAAGTTGCTATAAGATCTTACATCGAAAGCAACTTCGGTTATGATCCTAACTTCATGGGGCCAGTAGCAGGAGTTTTGGTTGGTTTTGCAGCCTTCTTTGCCTTCATGTTTGCGTATTGCATAAAGACATTGAACTTCCAGATGAGGTAGAGAAGAGATAGTGATATATGTATTAAATATAGCCAATTCCTGTGAATATATGTATTAAAAGTATAATGACGATAATCTTCGATCATTTTAAAAGTTTTGATATATTTGTATGGTTAAATGTAAAGGGTATTATTAGATTGTCTTAAATTTAAGGCTGTGTGAGATTATATTTTATTAATTTAAAGTAACCTCATTCCAATGATGAGTATTGTTTGTTTGTCCACCAAAATTTGTTCAAATTGATCTTAATCATGGAGACAACATAAACATAAACATTGAATATGTTGGAACTCACTAATTTCAATAAAATTCGATTACGGTATAAAAATACTAATAATATAGAGCAGTTGCCGGAGACCTTGCGAAATGAAACCTACCACGTCGCTACAAAGGCCTCCTCGCTCAGCTACTCGGTCACCGAATTCGACATGGAGCCACGGTGGTCGGATCTCGATCAGAGGAATGTCGGAACACGATTTCGAGAAGAGAGAAACGAACGAAAACCATCGCTGGACAGTCGGGTGAAGAAGAAGAAACCCATCAGATTCGAATTCGGACTCGGGGCAACCTACCTGCAACCAGCGACCCACAGCCCAACTGACGTAACAATCTGCAGCCCACAACCACACGCACCTTCGAGAAGGCGACCTGACCCGTCCGACGACCTACGCTTGCTCCAGCCTCCGTACACGTGCGTGATGCGTGTCTCCCCTACCGGCTCACTCAGCTCGGCTCGGCTTCGGTTGGAAAACAGCTTATTCAGCTCGGTTCTTAGATTTTGGCATCGTTTTTTTTTTAACCCTCCCGAGCTGTTTTTGACCTTATTAAAAGTAATTAAGGTCAATATAACCCTCATTGTCTCAATTTAAATTACATTGAGCTAGAAATTTGATTTTTACTGACTCAATTAAATGAATATTTAAATAAATGAAGTCTCGTGAAAACGAATTCAATGGGCGAAAGTAAGTTAATATGGAGTTAAATAGAACTTTGGCTAAAACCATCCAAGTAAGTGACTCTATTATTGGCACAATTAGAAGAATTATTTTATGTATGATGATACATATCCAATAGGCCCTGCACATGTCATGTATTTGATATGACTGTCATATTATGATGATATGTTACGTTATGACCCTACGATATGATATGTTATGTTAAGATAATATGATATGTCATGATGACATGAGATGTATAAGTAACGATAATATATTATGTATGAGATGTCATGTTGTAGTATAACATGAATATGTTTGCTAATAAAATGTATGACATGGAGGAATGTTTTGATGTATAGCCATTTAAGTAATGTATGACATGCATGTTATCTAGGGTAATATGTGAGGAATCATCATTTTTGTTTAGGATAGAAATTATAAAGACCTCAGACATGCATTAGTATACTTCTCATTTATGATGAGTACAAACATGTAAACTATGATGATAAGATGATGATCGTGCTTAATATAATACATGACGGTCGTTGTACCTCTAAACATCCGGCTACAGCCTAGAGGAGCTAGCTCGACGAGACGGCAGGTTTGTAGGGCGGAGAAGGCCAAGAAATTTGGCCTCCATGGTTCATACAAACCCAGGGGCGGAAGTAGCCCTGACCAAATAGAGTGAAGTAGAAGGAATATGGGTGCAGCAATCTGATGCCAAATTGTGCGCTCCTCCAACAATTCAATGGATAGTGCAGTGCTCGATTGAGGTGTCGGCCTTTCCTTAAAGCTACCGTCTGTCAGTCACAGCAGCTCAGTATGGCCTCCACGTGTTCTCACCCTATAGGTTCCTCTTTTTCCCACATTGGAATTTCATTCCCATCAAATGCTCCCACTGGAATTCCCTTTCCTGCCTTGGAAACCTACCTACACTCGAAATCTCTCCCTATTTTTTTTTTTTTTTTTTAATAAAA